ATACGCACAGATAGAGAGAGAGGCACTAGCGGCTACATGGGCCTGTGAGAAATTTCAAATGTACTTGCTAGGCAAACATTTTAGTCTGCGCACAGACCACAAGCCGTTGGTCCAACTGTTGGGAACAAAGCCACTATCGGATTTGTCTGCACGGCTACAAAGGTTTAGAATGCGCCTCATGCAATACTCTTATAACGTCGAATACATTCCTGGAAAGAAAATGATCATTGCCGATATGCTTTCTAGAGCGCCGATAGAATCGACCGATCCCGGCAGCGACGCGCTTTTAATCGATGAAGTCGAAGCGTTTGCGCAACACATAGGAGAAACTTTACCATTTTCCGACGCTCGTCTACAAAGGATTCGCGAAGCACAAGTCTCCGATCCACAAACGAAAAGAGTGAGGGAATACATCGTCAAAGGCTGGCCCACGAAAAAACGTATGACCCCAGAAGACCGATCATTTCACCAGTTTGAAGGTCAAATGGCGATACTGAACGATCTACTAATGCGAGGCAACAGAGTGTTCATACCGAGAGACTACAGGTCAGAAATCCTCGACCAAATACACGTAGGACACCTGGGCATAACGAAATGCAAAAGTCGAGCAAAGGAGACGGTTTGGTGGCCTGGAATAAACTCTCACATTGAAGACAAGATAAGCAATTGCAATATTTGCATTGAGCACAGGACTCCACCAACCGAAAAATTAAAACCGTCTGAGACACCAGAATATCCGTGGCAGATGATCGGGGCGGACTTGTGTAAAGTAGCGGGAAGAACTTACATAGTCGCAGTGGACTATTGGTCAAGATACCTGGAAGTAGCCAACATGAAATCCGAGACAGCGGAAGAAGCCATAGCAAAACTAAGAACTTTCATGGCAAGATGGGGAATTCCGGAAATTCTAAGAACCGATAACGGACCATGCTTCCGGGGTAACAAATTTAAAGACTTTGCTGAGAAATATGGATTTCAGCACATCACCAGCAGTCCGCTATACCCCCAATCAAACGGTCAAGCAGAAGCAGCCGTCAAAATAGCCAAGAAAATTTTAACGAAATGCGAAGACCCAAATCTAGGATTGCTGAGCTACCGCACAGCGAAACTAAGCTGCGGATTGTCACCATCAGAGCTTATAATGGGCAGAACACCAAGGTCCAACGTACCAGCAAATAAAAGCCTGTACATACCGACATGGTCATACCTGCAATCATATAAACGCAAAAGAGAGGTGGAAAAAGCAAAATACGCGGCAGATTTCAACATTCGCCACAGAGCGCGGTCAGTCTCCCCACTTGGGATCGGCAAACAAGTATGGATCACGAACGCAAAGAAATATGGCGTAGTCGTGAACAAGGGACCGGAACCCAGAACGTACATAATAGCAGCAGACAATAATGTCTACAGGAGAAATAGATCACACCTCATAGGAGTCACGAACATACCAATTCAGCAACAAGAAGACCTAGATATAGATCTACCAGAAGACTCCCAACAAATATCACGGGAAGAGGGGAAGGAGATGAAAGATGACAACAGAGGCCGAGAGAACGCAACCATCGTCGAAACAGAAGCTGGAGAAGGTAGCCAAGCAGAAGAAAACGGAAGAGACCAGCAACGCACAATCGTTGCGGAAACGGAAGAGAGCGCGAGGCAGAAGGAAAATGAGGCCACCGCACCAAGTCCTACAGAAAACGCGACCGCAGTAGGAGGGAAAATAGAGGCCAATACCAGGGCACATCAAGAAAAGTCAAACGCGCACCACCAATATGTAACTCGTTCAGGGCGCCTAGTTAAACCGCCGCGAAATATATGCAACTGCACCAGCGGGTGCAATCACTAAAGGCCGCTGCGATATTTTCCCCAAAATACTAGTCATTGTGTACGTATAGTTAAAAGGACCAAAAGTGTGTGCGTGTATTTAAATCAAGTGTATTGTAAATAATAAGTGTGACTGTTGAACATAAGCATGTGCATGTTTAGTATTAGTGTTAGACAAGCCGGGAACATGACGTCCGGTTCGAACACCCTACAGAAGGGGGGATGTGGTATATGGTGTGACCGTGCGCATGCGAGCCAAGGGGAGACAGCTCGAGAAGAGCCACGACGAGGGACTTCGAGTGACGCGCGCGCGGGGTAAACAAGGTAAGCGACAACGCTACACATTATATCACAACATTTATTCGTCAAAAATTCTTCTAGTGAACAGAAAGCCTTTTTTATTAGATATGATTTAATTTTAGATTTAAACTCCATTTCATTGTAATGTTTGAGAGCGGTGGGCAACATTTTAAAAAATTTTATGGCTAAAAAATTAGGGCCGTACTGACTTTTTTTAAGACGTAAATAAGTGAAATAATGAAATAATTGTGAAAGTCCGAGTGGCATTTAAATTTTTGGCAATTACTTTTCATATAAATCATACAGGTATACCTATATGTAAAGTGAGGGTAAGGTTAATATTTCCAAATCTGTGAAGGCTTGCCTGCAATCAGATTGATATAGTCTAGGTTAGCCAATATTCTAACCACTCTTCTTTGTATTTTAAAAAGAGACAGTAAAATGTTGATTGCTAAACCTTCTTTATAATGATTGTGGAATAATCTGCAATTGCCAAAATACGAGGTCAAGTGAAAAAAGTTATCGGACCTAACCTAATTTTCTTAAATTGAACACCCTATACAGGGTGGTGTTTTTAAGTGGACCATTAGAAGTATCTCAGCAACGGTTTGAAATTTCGATTCGGGATACCATTACCTTTTTTGAATAATCGATCATAAAAGAATCATTTAAAAATGTTTTCAAGATGGCCGATTTTACGGTTGTATCAGTACAATACCGGAACTTTCTTATTTCAAATGGCAGTATCTTTTGTAAAATCCGAAACTAAATCTAACTCTTTTGGCGAGAAAAAAATTAAAGAACCAATGCAAATTTCATCACTTTTTTTAGGGGTGGCTCCCAAACGAAACACATTGGTTTATTTGGAAAGTGCTTGTTTTGATCCCCTTTTCTACCCAATTTTTATTTTACATACTTACAATGTAACACCCTGTATAGCCAATGCAGCAATAAGTAACCCACTAATGGACGAGCTGCTTAGCGAATTCATTCATTTTATCTGTGTGTGCACATGATAACGGGCGAACGGTTTCGAATTTTCCAATTATGTTTTTAGTAGTATTTATCAGCACCCAAGGAAGAACTGATAAATTTTCAGTGACCCAGGAGCTCGTTGGCTATATTTGTTACAGAAGAATGGACGGACGGGAGCTCCACAGTCACTGAAAATTTAATCCGTTTATCCTTGAGTGATGATAAACATAATACTGAAAACAAAATGAAAATTGGAAAATCGAAACCGTTATTATGTACACGGACAGAAATCATGAATGCTCGCTTATCCCAGCTCTGGATCGCTCGTTGATAAGCGCCGTTTCTTTCCAAATAGATGATATAGAGTAGTCTGTGAAGAATTTGATCCCATATGATAGAAGAGGATGCAGTATGTGTATGGTAACTACGCGACCCTTGAATAGTCGAGAGTGTTCATGCTATTTGTTCGTGTAGTTGAGAAGGATAGCAATAGACTACTAAATATGTACTAACAATCATTTTGGAACAGTTGATCTTAATTGTTAGAATTGAAATTGAGCAACTCTGCCGACTCTGTGATATCCATATTATATTTACCTTCTTTTTTTTTTAAGTCTACCATCAGTTGCTCCAAAACAGTGCTCAGTACTTTACTAGTCTATAGCTATCCTTCACAATTACACAAATGGCATGCACAGGGGTGACCTAATGCTTCTATCGTAAAGGACAATAATAATAATCTTTAATTCAAGGACAGTTCACTCGGACTTCTAGGTCGTACATCTTCACTGGCATCAAGATTTCAATTTTTAAAGTTCACCACCGTCATTCTGGGCAAATTCTTCGCAGACAACCTTACATCATCCTGGAAAAAGTTTAAGAATGAAACTAATTGTGTACAATATTATATTTTTGTAATCAGGAAATACAGGACTAAGCAAAACTAAAAAAATATAGTGTCCTTTATTAAAGATATTTAAAACGCATCTTGTTGGGAATACCCTGTATATTGATTCAATCAGTTACTATACAGGATGTCTTAAATTGAGTAGGATAACATGGTTATCTTTGTTATTATTATACTTGCAGATTCGGTTAAATTGGCCAAGTTGTGTAGTTTTTGATGCTGATTGATATTCCGATGAGATATTTTGAAAAACAAGTTGTAAATCAGCATATGCATGATGAAAGCGCATTTTTGGTAACGCAGATCAGTATTTCATTAGCAAAGTTTAAAATTATCGATCTTACGACTAATCTAACTCAAAATAGTGCACATCTACATTACATCAGAAAGCTTTTAGTGAAAATTTGTCTCTAGTTATTGCAATTGCCGAGATCTCAGTCAGAGAGCCAGCCAGCCATAACGAATATAATAGCGTATTTTTTTTCAAAAATGCGCTAAAAATAAGCCCGAAAAAAATTACAAAACCAGTGATACTAAACACTTAGTAGGTATTTCATTTGGGAATCAACCTTGCATTTTCGCCTCAAAGTTTACTGTTTATTATGATTGAAACCAAATTTGTTTGTTTAATGCCTCGCCTAGTCACCATCAACAAGCCATGGACACTGTAAATATTGAGAGTACACTGCACGTATACGTATCTCGCTCACACTCAAGCGGATGTATCTGTAATTCGCTAACACTTGGTACCTGAGAATTGGCCTTCGGCCCAAGCTAGGGGTATGTGTACGCTCATACTATTCTATTGTACATATTTTGTCCAGCAGAAAATAAGTAAGGTCTGAGGGCCCTGGGATCTTGGAATATTTTCTTGCTCTATGTCTATGGACTACAAATAGGTAGGTACATTACAAACCGTATCGAGAGCCTTATAACTGACTTAAGGGACTGTACAGCATCAGTAGAAATTTGTTTCTCATTATGAGTATGACTGATAATTAAGGTGCATTTCCCCACTACAAATAAAAAAAAAAAAAGAAAAAAAAAAGAATAATTTAAAAAAAGCAATTCACCTACCTATCACAAACACGTTTTCTGTTAACACGCATCCGGCATGCTGATGTTTTCAACAAACATTGCCATCAGATTTCATGCAAAGATCTGTCCTCTGCAATCAGTTCCTCCCATTTCACTGTAAATATTCAATACATAATGTTTTTGAAACATGTTTGCCACTCTACATACCTGCACACTGCCATTATGGGAAGAACTTTTCATTTATTCCATTCATTGTTAAGGGTGAAGGGAAATGTGGTTCCAATTCTGAAACCTGGCAATGGAACTACGACTATTCACTTGTATGGAGACTTTATCCGCGTATGCTTGAACATGAGAATTTCAGATCCATAGAGGACAGCCATGAGTTGGAAAGCAAAGAACTGAGGTATCTGGATTGTCCCATGAAGTTCCGTAGACGCCCACGAGGACTCGTATCCACATCCGCAACCACTGTAGTCGATAGAATAATGTAAGTAAAAGTGAAGTGGGCTCTGCATCCACTAAATCCGCTGGACCCACAACACGAGATGCAACGTCTTCAATAGCAAATATCTGAAAAATATTAGAAACTTTAGTAAATTGTTGGTTCTTTGAATGTTCGTAATTGTAACAGTTTCATTTCATTGAACAGTTTTTGTACCTAAACTGTGATTCAACTAAGAAGTAGGCAGTAATTCAGTTTTTGAAATGTTTATCAAATTTGAAACCTATACTGATAAAACATATTTCACTGGAAATTTAAAAGAATAACGAACAAGCTTGAAAAGGAGCTTGAAAGAGATCTATCTAAGTAAGGATCATTTTTATAAAAGCTATTTAAATTCAACAATTAGTAAAAAAAATAATAAAAACTATTCGATGGTATCTGGAAAGGCTGTCCTTAAAATAGGATACTTTCTCATTGCCACTATTTGAGCAAAACAGCGTTGAGAGGTTTTAAAAACAAAGGTTTCGTTTCGAAGAAATTATCGTCAACTTTATTTTTTTATATATGGCCAGTAAAAAAGTTCATACTGTATTGAGTACCTACATTTTTTATTACGAATACAACGAGATGCACGGCACAAAAAATCAAAAGTTGAAAACTTGGTTTCTAATGCAGCGTGAAATGTGGCGAGTGTTACCTACAGTCTTGCGAAAATACTTAATTTTTGTCTAATGTATTTAATGAATAATACGCATGGGGCAAATTTTTAATTTTCCATATTCCATATTTTGAAGATGATTTTTTCGAAACAAAACGTTGATTTAAAAACCTCTAAACGCTGTCTTGCTCAAATAGTGGCAATGAGAAAGTATTTTTTTCTGTAACTGCTCGAATAACATCAGGAAAAATTACAAAATCGGCAAATTTCGGTTTACCTGGAATATCTTCGATAGTAATCGTAATTTTCCCCTAATTTGACCATCATCATGTCTTCTATGGTTTCCGACATCACCATGGTAGACCTCCTTATTATATTTTTTTATTAAAAAGATAATTATATACACTGTGTCCAGGATAAGGATGTCTATCATGGGGATCTCCGAAACCATATAGATAGAAGATACGACGATTGTCAAATTAGAGAAAAGATGCGTAATTAAACAGTTATTATAATTCTTTCAAGAAAACCAAAAAATTCCCATTACTTCCGAAGATATGCCAGAAAAAAACGAAATTTGCCGATTTCGTTTTTATTTTTCTCTAATGATATTTGAACAGATACAAAAAAAGAACTCTTATGCATTGCCACTTTTTAAGTGCTGAAAGATTTTCAATACAACGTTTCGTTTTGGAAAACTCATCATCAACTTTATTGTTTTATATGGCCCGTAAAAAAGTACATACTATTAGTGAGTAGCATTTTGGAAATATGTGATGGTGCCGGGTGCGCCATCTCGTTGGATGGTAAAGTCGGGACTAATATTTTCAATATCAGAAGGCATGCTGCTTAAAATATTAATCGACGACTGATAAATTAAAAAATCAGGTGTCAAATTACTGACAGAATAGCTTCCTAGCTGAAACCAAAAATTGCCAACATATGTTTTTTTACGCATGCATTTTGTTTGCTTTTATTAGAGGGACCTACCATCCAATTTTCGTTAAAATTGCTCCATAAATAAGAAAGTTGGATGTTGCACATGCGCAACTCAATTTTTTGCGCATGCATTTTGTTAGCTTTTATTAAAAGGGCCTACCATCTAAATTTCGTTAAAATTGTTCCATAAATAAGAAAGTTGCATTTCTGCGCATGCGCAACACGATTTTTGCGCATGCATTTTGTTTGCTTTTATTAGAGGGTCCTACCATCCAAATTTCGTTAAAATTGCTCCATAAATAAGAAAGCTGGATGTTGCACATGCGCAACTCGATTTTTTGCGCATGCATTTTGTTTTCTTTTATTAGGAGGACCTACCATCCAAATTTCGTTTTAAATGTTCCATAAATAAGAAAATTGCATTTCTGCGCATGCGCAACACGATTTTTGCGCATGAATTTTGTTTGCTTTTATTAAAGGGACTTACCATAGAAATTTCGTTTAAATTGCTTCAGAAACAAGATCGTTGCGTTTTGCACATATGCAACACAATTTTTTGACTTTGACAATTTTTTCTCCGTTTTTTGATAATATAACCCGGCCCAATTTTTTGTAGGTTGTACACAGGAAAATAAGGTCTTCCAAATAATAGAATAAAAATTTTAGGTTGCTATTTGAAAAAAAAAGTTCGATGCCGTTACAGCGCTCCAAAATTTTTTTTCAAAAATCCGGCCCGTTATTTTTCTGTTCGGTATGCCTAAAACATATATACAAAATTTCAACAAAATCCGTCGAGCCGTTTTCTCAGAAAATTGCCAACAAACGTACGTACGTACGTACATACAGACGAAAAAAAATTTTATTCTTTAAAAGTTGCTTAAAATGGTCTAAAACGTCGACATTTGATGAAATTTTGAAATGTTCAAAAAACGGCTATCGCAATAGCTACCTAGCACATGCTAGGAAGCTAAAAATTTGATAATTTGAATCGACATAAATTTGAAACGTCCGCCATTTTCAATGTTTTTACCAGTTTACTAGAAACAAAAGGGATCAAGTAGAACATTGCCGAGTTGGCATGACGCAATAAGTATGATCACGATTCACAACCTCATTTCATTTCCCCTCACATTTGACTTAAGACTTGCAAATAAACCGAGGGTCCAACGTGTTTCGTTTGGGAAACACCCTAAAAAAAGTGGGTGAAATTTGCATTTCTTTTTTATTTTTTCTCAGCAACGATAAGAGTTAGAAAGACTAGTGACACGTCTTTGAACAGGTTTTGGCTCGGGTCTTGGGGTATGCCCTTTCCCATTTTGCAATTTTTTTCAAAATTCCTACCACAAATGGGCCACTCCTAAATGGCGGTGAGAAAAAGGTTCTGATTTCGACGAAATTTGATATCTGGGGTTTTTAAACATGAAAACCACGAATCTGAAATTAGTTTTTGAAAATTAAAATAAAAAGATTTTTTATTTTTTTGAAATCAGGATATATTCTCTATTAGAAGACCTAAATCTTTAAAATGGCTCCCATAACAAAAATAAAAGTTGGTATCGATATAAAATAAAGTACCTATTATATTAATGATAACGAACATTCATTTCCAGCAATTCCATCATCTAAATTCTAAAAGAGCAGAAAAGTTCCCTAAAGAAACTCTGTTTGGTTCTTAAATACCTCCCCAAACAGCGATCCAAAAATCAAAAAATCCCTTTAGGCTCGGCCGATCAGGTGTAGGTAGATTTCTGTGTCCGCCGTTTTGTTCCAATAAGGCGGAATTGGCTGGTTCACCAACTTGACCGATATATTTATGCGTTACACCGATTGAATTAAAAAATTCAATTATTTTCTGAAATAAAAACAATGGATTGCTGCCTTATTAAACAACTTTCATATAGAAAATTTTGTATACAGTCGATATTTACAGAGATATATACTATATTCCATACATAATGGGCACCCTGTATACTGGTACCATTACAATAGGTAGAAGAAATCTACCTAAAACGTCAATTATGTTATTTTTCGCCATATTTAGGAAACTTTAGAAAGGGGGACAATTTTGTTTTTTTATTTCATTTAGGTAAAACTCGAGGATCATTTTTGTCTGTTTAACCAACTCTCTATCCGTAATAAACGAGATCTCAGGAATTTGATAAAACCTAACATCCGATTACATTGAATTCTGTGGGAATTTAAACAATATCGGTTTTAGTAATACAAGCGGCATATACAGCAAATTTTTTTTTATTTTAATTTAAAACGCATTTCACAAATAATTTCAGAATTGTTAAAAGTTCCCATAATGCAATTTTTTCTTTTAGTATTTGCTTTTGCGTTAGGAAGCTGTTCTGTCTAGAATTTGGTAATTGGTTTATCAGGTTTTCTCTTTTTAGCTATCAAAATATTCGTAGAAAAATATTCTTTTTTCCGAACTAAATGAGCCATAGTGTGTCCATTTGAAAAAATGGATTAAAAGAAAAAAGCTATGATTTTTCAAGGTTTTAAAGCGTCTCTAAGTGTAATGCTAATGACATACTAGGCGACATGCCGCTCGCGACAGCGACATGTCGCAAAATGGAGCGACAAATATTTTGCAGCGACCTGCATTGTTTAATGGCTAAAGGCATAGTATAGCGACTTGCAGTCGTCGCGACAGATGTGTCGCGCCTTGTCGTCGGAAATGCGGCGCGACTGAATTAGGGGGGCACATAGAAACAGGTTTGTGATGACATACTGGACCGCGATTTGCCGCATTTGCGGCGCGACAGTTTAAGTTTAAACAACAAAAATGTCCGTTGTTGATAAATTATTTAGCCTTGTTAAGCGGTGGTATGGGTGAACAGAATATTTCCTCACTCGCGTGTTCTGCAGTTGACCTTCTGCTTCGGCTGCACAATCAGCAACCACATTAAGGAAGTGTACGTTCTCCATACTGGGTGTGCCAACTGAAGGAGCAGGGTTGCAGGGTAAAATAACACCTTCTTCATGAGAATCGTGATTTGTCGTCTTTTTTGTCGTTCAAAACCGCTAAAAGTAGCTGTCGCGAGCGACATATCGCTTAAGTATGTCATCCGCTCGTTTTTGCGACATTGACGCTCGATGTCGCTGTCGCGAGCGGCATGCCGCCTAGTATGTCATTACACTAATGTGTACAAAAACAAGTAAAAAGGTTTTCGTCCTAAGGCGAGTAACTTCAACGCATTTTCTATGAATGATCAGTACTTCCCAAAAGGTCATAGCTATGTGCGCTGTGATTTTCTTTGCTAGAGGCATATATGGTTAAAATTTCAAAGAAATATCTCCATAAACAAAAAAGTTGGCGTTGCGTAGTTCGCGCATGAGCACATTTAATTTATGCAATATCAGTTATGTTTGCCTTTAACAGAATCCTCTGTGATTAAAATTTCAAAAAGATATCTCGATAAATAACCATTGATTGCGCATTAATCTGATGTTTGCAATATGCGATACGTTTGTTTACACTAAAAGCAACTGTGGTTAAAATGTCAAAGAAATATCCCCATAAATAAGAAAGATGTCTGCGCATGCGCACAACCGATTTTTACTATATGCGATATATTTGCCTTCACCAGAAGTATCTGTGGTTAAAATTTCAACAAAATATATTAATAAATAAGGAAGTTGACATTGCGCAGTTTAATTGTGAAGATTTTCCTTGGCTCAGGTGCTAGAGCTATTATACGCTACCGAATGCAAAAATGCTTCGTTGGAAAATGCGCTAAAAATTAACCATCAAAGTGACAATGTTAGGTGTCATTGTATTCAGAATGCCATTTTGTATCGCCTTGACCACTTTTTTTTATTTACTTTACTTTTTGGAAAAAATGCATTCTTCATAAAAATTGTTGCTTCTCTAAAATGGTTATCATCGTTTATACCTTTCTAAATTTCCCTACCGTTTCAAAGAGAAATACGAAATTATGGTTGAATTCCAAAAAGTCAAACGAAATTTGAAGGCCGTCCGGCACACCTTCAAGGTATAGGCTACCTACGCAAAAAATTCCAGGACTCTAGGACCATTCCCCTAGAAGTAGTTCAAAACGGTAGAAGTGGGTCCGAACGGACGGACGGACAAAATGCAAACAATAGCACATTTTTTTAATTCTTAAACAATACGCTAAAAAAGTTATATATAGGCGACTCAGTTTTGAAAATCATCCGGTATCGTATACGCCCTTTCAGAATTGTGTTTCATTTAACCCCCAAACGATTTAACATTGTTAATATAATCTTTCCGGGGCATTTTTTTTTGTCGAAGTTTATACTAATTTTTGAATTTAAATATTAACTTTTGCTGTTTGCTACCTTTTATAAAAACCTTTTTCGTTGTTCTTTTAAACATTTCAATTTGAATACGTTTTATCAATATACCTTGGTTTCAAATTTCATCAAAAGTTGAACAATTAGGTTCCAAATAAATTTGACCCATCATGGTTAGGTTTTAGTTTAGGTGGGGAAATCTAAGTTTTCATACTCCAACCCCCGTTTCTTCTATTGTACCTACCTAGTACCTATTCTACCAAAGAGGAGTTAATATTTTAATGGCACACAAATGTCTTCATTTACATTTACAATAACTCATCAATAGCGTACCGATGTTAACAAAAATTGGAAGAAAAAATGGACGTCATCGTCTAAAAATGCACGTGTATGATTGTAAAGTAAGGAGTATTTCAGTAAGCAAAGAGAAATTCCAATAGTGACGTGGATAGAGAAATATAAATACAAATTAGAAATTACTCACTGTTTTGGACGATTACAAAATATTCCATAAATGCCTACAACCAACTATCTTACAACCAAAGACAAACGAGCCTCTGAAACTGAATTATAAAACGCACACAACAAAAATGCGAATGGCTCCCCAACTCCCCACACTCCGCAGGAAGTTTAGGTGTAACATGACGTAGTAATCACGTGACTCAACATTGGCCATTATTCCATAAGTACTTGAAAAGTAAACGGCGGCAATTTTTAACAAAATGATTTTCAAAACACTACGAATTATATTGTTAACTTTTTTAAAAATTGTGTGAAAGATTTCGAAAGTATTTACTCCAAACAAAATGCCGACAAGCAAATAAATAATTACGGATGGGAATATGAATAAAAAATGTACTTAATCAAATTTACTCACTGTTTTTATAAACACTAGTCCATTAACTCATCCGAGAATCTTAATCTTTTATGACTAACACGAATAAAAACTATGAATTACTTCTGGTTCTAGTTGGAAATCGGAAGTTTGGCTTCAAAGCTAACTTGTGACACAATACTTTTTAAACACACGTTAAGGATGATTCTTTCTTGTTAATTCTACGCATATTGTCGGAGTCAATATTAAACGCGACAATAAAACACGTATCGATGCATTCCATACTCTGAAACTGAATGCTGAACTCTCACCTCTGTACAATTGTACATCCGGTACCAGTACCACCCTGGCTCTTCAATTGTCGAAGCATAAGTGCGCAAGTGCAGATGCAACTTCGCGCACGCGCGTCCATGCATATTGACTAAAAGAAATGCAAACACTTTCAGGATCTCAGTACAGTGAAAGTAAAAAAAAGGCGAATTTAAATAAGGAAAATGTGCCAAGCACATTCGCACCCATGCGTGATTTTAATACTTCGTGTTAGCACGTCATTATCGGAAACTGGGAAATTTCTTAATATGTAGTTCCATTTGCTTTTGCACTCATTTACATAGTTCTAGAACTCTAGATACGTTACAAAAAAGGTTCCGCAAGTTTACCCTCAAAAATTACTATCACGAATAGTGGCTCGCAATTTAAAATTTTAAAAATTCAAATTTTCTGAGTAATTTTCTAAATTGCACCGTAGTGTAATTCTATGCAATACTTGGTATAAATTATTACTTAATTAATCTGTTCAATCCCTGTGATTGAAAATGTCCAGACTGCGCAACGTCAACTATCATACTTCTAAAGATATTTTCTACAGTTTTACTATAGGTGTTTATAGTAAAGACCAAACATAGCAAATAGTAAAAATTAAATGTGCGCATGCGCAAACGTACCTCAAATAGTAAAAAATCAGACGTGCGCATGTGCAGACTGTGCAATACGGTCGTGCTTATTTATGAAGATATTTCTTTGAATTTTTAATCATAGACGCTTCGAGTAAAGACAAACATACCGTATAAATCAAATATGAGAATTGCGAAATGCCAACTGTCTTATACGAGATATATTTTTGAAATTTTAATTACAGAATCTTCTAACAAAAGCTAACGTGACGCCAATTTTTAAACTCAAATGCGTACATGCACAGTATCAACATCCCTATTTATGAAGGTAGGTTTAACTACGCTTGAACGATAGAAATGCCTGTCCATATAACCCTATAAAGTGGAATAATTCGAGTAAGTGAACGAATCTGATGGAGCTGAAAAATGTAAAACACTTGAAGTTGGTAAATATTCTATTATAATCTACTAATATAAAGAATCTGAAACCGGAAAAAGCCGGAGAAACGGAAGTAAGTATCTGAAGGATCATAAAAATATGAAGGTGCTGATGCGACCAAACAGCTTGAAATATATATTTCAAAGAAAGGAGAAAATTCTAAGGAAATAGAAAATTTTGAGGAAATAAAAGGAAATTTTGAAGAAATAAAAGGTTTCTATATGGAAGTAGGTATCGTTGCTAACTTGAAGGACATTTTTGTCTCCCAAAAGAAGTCGTGACCAACTCCTCGGGAAAAATTGAAAGTTCAGACAGAATACAGAATTTCCTTAGACCAGTTCTCAGAGGATTCTGCCTGCTACTCCGAATTAGGTTTTCCTGATGCGGTTTTCCTAGTTGGTAAGGTAGATACCGGAGTAGTACAGAACAACTTAAGACCTTCTGTAAGTGCACCTCTAAAAAGCACTATGCGAGTCACTCTGTAAGTAATTGGGCGCAAGTCTGTTGAGGGCCCAGAACAAGGCAGGGATAATAAATAAATATATACATATATATAACTGCAGGATATGAAGCGAGATACCAAGCATCCGAAGAAAAATTTGAAGACTCCAAAGAAACCCAAGAATCTAAAAAAAATAGGCAGAATCTAAAGGATCAGAAGAATGCGAAAGAAACAAAAGAATCTGAAAGAGTCTACAATTCTCTACGAATTTGAAAAATTAGAATTCGAAGATTCTTAAGAATATGAAAAAGCTCATGAAACTGAGAATTGGGAAAACTAAAGAATGGAAAAAATCCTAAACATCCGAAGTAAGGATTTGAAAATCCTGCAGAATCTAAAATTCTAAACAATTGATAACACCGAGGATAACACTGAAGATTTTGAATTTTAAGAATGAAAAGAATTCGAAGAAATGATAGATTTTGAATAATACTAAGCATGGAAAGTGTACCAAAAGACACAAGAGAATCAGAGGAATAGGAAAAACGTAGAGAATCACAAAAATTTGAAATATGTATCTCATAAACGCGAGTCCGAGCGCGAATTGTTCCCAGAAGCATCCAAAAAATTAAAAAAAACTAAAGAATCACACTAATTAATCTGAAACATTTGAAGAATTCCTGAAGGGAAACATTTTAAAAAACAGAACAATTCGAATAAACCGAAAAATTTCAAGAATCTGAATAATCCGTAGATTTGGGAGAAATAAAATAATCCTAAAATTCAACCAATGCGATCTCGAGAACCCGAGTGATCCGAATAATTTTAAAATCTTAATGAAGAATAAAGCAACTGAAAAATCTTATTCTTTCCTAGTTCTTGGAGTAATTCCTCCAAAAAAACAAACATACAAATCGACCGTCAAAACTAAAACATACTTTGATTTTTGAGTATATTACACCCCCTTCCTCACCTCCCTCATACAAAAACCATTATGCGTGGCCGCATGCGGTTGAAAATATCTTGAAATTAAATTGTTTAAAACTCTTTACCTTCCTCGGAAGAATGTTCAGATTTATAGGCAGACTAGAAGTCCCCTTTTGGGAAAAATGTGAAATTTTGCACACGTGTAGCTACAATAATATGTAGATAACGTAAAAAAATTATGACGTCGCTCTTTGTTTGTAAACAAAAATTTTCAATTCTCCCATACAACTACTCTTAGTGCTATGACATACTATGCTGGAAACCGCATGCGGTAAACCGCATGCCAGAAAATGAAAAACCGCGTCATGTATAATTAAATGCATAAAGACATACTACGTGCGTTTTGCGGTCGCCGCATATAAATGCGGTTTGCTGCCGCAACTTGTCGGCGGGAATGCGGTTGCGGTAAGTGAGAGAGCACAAAGAAACAGATATTCGATGACATACTAGCCGCAACGTTTCTGCCGGCAAGTAGTAGTGTCCTCAAAAATGTCTGAAAACCACCATAACTTCTGAAAGAAAAAAGTGTTAAAATTATCGGGATGTAGTCGATGATATGGGTGCATGGAATGTCTCCTCCTTCTTGGGTTGCCGAGTAACTCTTCTGCGTCGGCTGCACATACAGCTACCACATTAAGAAAATGTTTGTATGCGTCCATTCTCCCCGAAAATTATTCAATAACAGCAGTAGCAAGGGACTATTTTCTGCGCCGGCATGCGGTTCCCGTATATAGTATGCCATGAAATGAAAAATGCGGGAACCGCTCAAATTTGCGGCTGCGATTTACCGCATGCGGTTTCCAGCATAGTATGTCATAGCATACGTGGTCGCAGGTAGTTGAAATTTTACATTTGACATGTTTGGGGGATGTAAAACCTGTATATATTGGGACATCTCTGAACATCGCTCTACCATCGGAGATCCAAGAGCGGCAAGAGCCCTACTCTAACCGAATGGGCGCTTTATGTCGTCACCGTCACATTTTTTAAGTTTACTCACCTGAGTTTATTCGTGAAATTCGAATTCTTTAAATCCTGCAGTTACACTTAATTTCAAGTTCACAAAAACACATCACGAGAACGAATAACAAGTTAAAAAGTAATCGTAAACGATTTACATAAAGCGCATTTCCACTTGCATTCATTTCCCATTTGTAAGATGCAACTTCTATAAAATCGTAAAAATCCGGCCACAAATATGAAAGATAGCGTTGCACATGGGCAATCCATTTTTGTCGTGCTACTTCAATGTCAGTTTATGAGAAGAATTTCATTTCAATGCTTTTCTAAATAAGAAAGTTGGAACTGCGCATGCGCAAACCTAAATTTTGAAACTAATGTTAGATTTTCCTTTGTTCCAAGCGCCTAAATATCAAATTTCACTTAAATGCTTCCATAGATAAAAAAGTTGGCACTGCGCATGCGCAAAACCAAATTTTGAAATTGGCAGTTGATTTTCCTTTATTCCAAGTGCCTATGTATCAAATTTCATTCAAATACTTTTATAAGTAAAAAAGTTTGCAATTCGGGTTTATAAATGGTCGAGATGCGAAAAGGGCACTGTGAATTTTGAATCGATTCGATTCAACTTTTGGCGTTGCGTATTATATGGCTAAAGCTATGCCCATATTGAATTTCATGCAATTCAATTCATAACTAACGGAGATGTAAAAGTGATCGAACATTTCTAAACAAAGTTATCGTTCACACGGACAGACAGACAAAGGAACAGACGGACAGACCAACAGGCAGACGACAGATAGCAATGCAAAATTATAAACGATCTCTAGGATCGTTAATAAACGGCAAAAGTGTAAAATTATGGAACATGTAAAAAACGGTTTTTTGTTTTTTTTACAATAACTTTTTTTGTAAGCGGTACAGAAAAAATTCCTTCCTTGGTACAAGACTCGACACCATAACGAACCAAATAGCGAAAAAAGTAGAACAATAGCTCTTAAGATAAAGAACTAGTAGCGTCGCAAAACGAGCGGACGGACAAAGTGGCCACAATAGCGCATTTTTTTTTTATTTTTGTGGAAATGCGCTAAAATCCTAAAAATGGTTACAACGAACGTAAGAATATCCCCTTGTTTTATCGAAAGATGGACGTCGATAAAATGGAAAGGATTCTAAATAGAGCTTTTATTTCGCCAGAAAGACGGCATCTTTTTCCGTTTCCTGGGAAGAACGTGATATAATCAATTAATAATCAATTAGATAGGAAAATAAACCATCTCTTCAATCATCAATGACTGAGAATACTGAGATAGATCTTTTAGCACAAAATGATAATAAAAATAAAACAAAAATAGATTATGGAAAATAAAATATCAGCTTGTGCTTTAACATGAGAAATAAATATCCGTTCCCATTTTCCCAAGGATTAGTCACACCAAAGATCATATTACACTTTATCAGACTAAACAAAATAACAAACACCTACCTAAGCGTCATGCTGTTGCCAAGCTTATTTAATTATCGCAACGCGGTAGGCGTATGTCTAGTAATTTATCTCAAGGAGCGCAAAAAAGACAACTGTAAACAAATAAAAGTAGGTATACAGGGTGTCCCATGACGAACTGAGTCGGTCATTATGACATTATCTCACCTGTGTGAACTTGACCCCCCAACTTTAGAAAGCAATAATTTTCGTGATTGAAATGGATTGCGCTTCGTTTGCGCACAATTGCATTGTTTGCGCACTGCCGGTTTCAAAATTACGAAGGAATCAAATTGGGAGGAGCCAACTTCACAACTGCCCCCCAAGTTTACAAATTTGAATTTTTTTTTTAAAGTTTGAAGTTAGGTGCGCTGTTGCAGCCACTTTCTCTGTCCGAGGCCTTAACTACTCATACAGTTTCCAAGATATTCGTTCTTTTTGCATTTGCTAGCATATGGCTCTGCCACCTGATCAAAATAGTAATTTATGTTACAAGAGCTGAAAATACGTTATAGCGTAATGAGCGTTAATGACGCGCGGCATGGAAGCGAGTTTACGCTATAGTTTTCAGCTCGCGTACCATACAACATTTTTTGTGCTGCTTTTACTTATTGAAATATTTAAATAACTCAAATAAATAACATTTAAAAGGTATGTTGGGTTTTTTTTCTACGCAATATTGCGTTGGTAGCACTGCTGTTCGCCATTTGATATTGGAATTTGAAATTTCTTTGATTTGAATCTTTTTATTTACGTCAAAATGAGTATACCAGAGCACGTACAAGTTTGTGCAAATAAGGCGATGGCAAATCTACTGCCAAAAAAATCATCAAATCGTTATAATGAAGAGTATGTGAAGTTCACGAAGTGGTGCAGATAACAGCATTACAGAATATACAGAACAAGTTATACTATAAAAAATCCCATAATCGGTTTTTCATTTATTACACTAATAATAAGTGTACACGGCAGCCAGTAGGTATGAATTCCTTCGGTAGCATGCCACGAAAGATTGCCGAGTTTCTGCATCTTCCCAATGCTCAAAGCTTTATACAGGGCATTGCTTTAGGCGGAGCTCTGCTACTATATTAGCGAGGAAAGGATCTGATTTCCTAGCAGTGAAACGCCATGGAGGGTGGAAATCTTCTGCCGTGGCGGAAGGGTAGATCGAGGATTCCCTTCACGCTAAAGTGGCCATCGCAAACACATTAACTGGAAAAACAGTGGCCCCAGAACCAATGTCCTCTTGGCAACGTGTTTCGCATTTTANACGACCTGTGTGAACTTGGCCCCCCCAACTTTAGAAAGCAATAATTTTCGTGATTGAAATCGATTGCGCTTCGTTTGCGCACGTTTGCGCACAATTGCATTTTGTTTGCGCGCTGCCGGTTTCAAAATTACGAAGGAATCAAATTTGGGGGGGCCAACTTCACGACTGCCCCACATCTTTACAAATTTGACATTTTTAGCGCATTTTCCAACGAAGTTGGGTGCGCTATTGCAGTCACTTTCTCTGTCCCTCCGCCTGTCCGAGGCCTTAACGACTCATACAGTTTCCAAGATATTCGTTCTTTTTGCATTCGCTAGCATATGGCTCTGGCACCTGATCAAAAAAGTAATTTATGTTACAAGAGCTGAAAATACGTTATAGCGTAATGAGCGTTAATGACGCGTGAGGCCGCAGGCCGAACGCGGCATGGAAGCGAGTTTACGCTATAGTTTTCAGCTCGCGTACCATACAACATTTTTTGTGCTGCTTTTACTTATTGAAATATTTAAATAACTCAAATAAATAACATTTAAAAGTTATATTGGTTTTTTTTTTCTACGCAATATTGCGTTGGTAGCACTGCTGTTCGCCATTTTGACATTTGAATTTGAAATTTCTTTGATTTGAATTTTTTTATTTACGTCAAAATGAGTACACCAGAGCACGTACAAGTTTGTGCAAATAAGGCGATGGCAAATCTACTGCCAAAAAAATCATCAAATCGTTATAGTGAAGAGTATGTGAAGTTCACGAAGTGGTGCAGAAAACAGCATTACGGAATATACAGAACAAGTTATACTAGAAAAAATACATCCCATAATCGGTTTTTCATTTATTACACTAATAATAAGTGTACACGGCAGCCAGTAGGTATGAATTCCTTCGATAGCATGACACGAAAGATTGCTGAGTTTCTGCATCTTCCCAATGCTCAAAGCTTTACAGGGCATTGCTTTAGGCGGAGCTCTGCGCAAGGCAAGGAGCTGATTTCCTAGCACTGAAACGCCATGGAGAGTGGAAATCTTCTGCCGTGGCGGAAGGGTAGATCGAGGATTCCCTTCACGCTAAAGTGGCCATCGCAAACACATTAACTGGAAAAACAGTGGCCCCAGAACCAATGTCCTCTTGGCAACGTGTTTCGCATTTTAGGTAACTTGTTGTGCTGTTAAAGGTGGAGCATCCTTCTTGGGCTTAAGGCAACTGCCACTAAAATATTCCTAACAGTGCATAAAAAAGTCAGCGATTTTCACTACTTACCTATTATTATTATAGGTACTTAATCTAAAGTAGTTGCACTCCTTTGTTGTTTTTCCTTATGATAGATTACTTAAACCACAGATTTAAATATACTTAAATCTGTGCTTAAACATTCATACTGAAATTAGGACGATTATCTACAAATAATAATTAATATACTTCAACTTAGAGGTTATGTTTTTAAAAACAACGTCGTTCCGCCCGAGGTTCCGCCCACTGGTTTTGCCGTTGCCAACATAAGTACAGCCAATGTAAATTACAGTAAAGTAACATAACCCTACATTTCACCACTTTAAAAGCATTTTTTTGTCATTATTATTAGGTCTATAGTATTATTATTTATCCATTTATCATCTACTACGTATACTTTATAACAGAAAATCATTAACATGTTTCGACCTTTGCTGGATTTCGAGAATGAACTTTGCCGATCTAGATCTTTTCGCTGTAGTACATTGCCGCATAGTTACTAAAACTAAATAGTGTCATTTCCCAGTTAAGCAGCACAAACAAGTACATACCTATTTTTATTTAAATGGATTCAATTCAATATCGTTGTCGTCGCCTTCTTCTTGAATTAATGTACCGACTCCATTGGTGCAAATGCCCTTCCAATTCGAACATGCGACAGAGCAGTTTAACGATGGGTTTCTACAACCACACCTGTCACTATCACATCCTTTGGTGCATCGACAAAAAGTCATCAGGGGCAGCATCCAACTCGGAGAGAGTTTCGGAACTAGTTGATTATTCCTGCTACGCCACTGCGAATTTGCTTTAAATGATAATCTGTGACCGCTATGGAAACAGTAACTTGATTATTTAATGTCAAATTAGGATTAGCTAATCTGTATTTTTACTATTCGCATCAAATTGTGGTTTTTAATAGCGTTTTCGATTGGCAAAACTCGTGCTGCACGAGTGCAATTTTTACGTTCTATTGGTAATTTTAGGGCAATTTTCTGTGTTCCATTGGCAAATGTGATGCAACAATTACGCACTAAATGCAAATTTTGACGCACGAGGTCGGAGAGCTCGTGGAGCAAATTTTCAAAATAAAAGTGCGCCAATTTGAATTTGTTTCTTGCGTTGAGAGTTTTTTGTTGTCATCTAGCGATAGCGAAGATGATGAACTAGCCATATAACTTCTACTTTACAAAGAGTTGCATTTACTCTTTAAAGTGAACGCCAAAAATTGGTTCTTTACAGGAATTTCAAATTTATATTCCTCATTGTTTATCATAAATAATAGTGAAATCATTTCAGTCATTTTTTAGAATACAGATTTGTCGATTACCTAAATCATTGTAGAAATACAAATCTAAAATGAGGTTATGGACAAATGACAGCAAATATTTACGAATATTTATGTTCCATTGAGAGCAATTTTCACATGGATTTCTTCAGTTTTTCGTGCAACACTCGTGCAGTACGAGTTTTGCCAATCGAAAACGCTATATCACAGAGATGTATGGGCAAACGCGATAAGGTTGATATATTAACATTGTATCAGGGTGGTAACAGTTTAAAAACTAAACGCACCGCTGTTGTTTAATTAAAAATTAAACCATTTGTGAAGTTAGGCAACCAACATTACCTACTAATAAATCAGCTTGTTTAAAAATCCAAAGATAGTAAATAAATTGTGCTGCCACATCGTGTCGAATAGTGGTACTATCTAATTATACATTTAATGGCGCTATTAATTCGTAAAAACGCAAGAAACTACGAACATACACTCCCCACGACAAAATTTGCCAGGAAAAAAGAAGATATTTTAATAATATTAAAAAAAATAGTGATGTTTAGATTTTTGAAATCAGAAAAAAAGGCTCTATCACACAAAAAATAAAAATGACTGCCATAGGAAAAAACGAAGTTGATAGAACTGTTCAAATTTAAAACTAGCATCTTACAGAGGGAAAAAAGTGACCACAATACTGTGTCATTTATTTTGAAATATCTTTTCAAATAACTTCGGTAAAAAATTAAACGATTTTGAAAAATTTCGTTTTTTTTCAGGATATCTCCGAAAGTAGTAAGTACGAAATTTTTTCAGTTTCAAAACGGCATTTTGGTAAGCATAAAAATACGCCAAATTTTAACTACCTACCTACCTACCTCTTACAGTTTCCGAGATCCCCATCGTGGCCCTCGAATTTGATTCAGCCTGTATAGAATTATTGTTACCTATATAAGTATTTTCCTTTTGTTATTATTTTAATTTTCAGGAGGAGTAGTGCCATTGAGTATATAATTGCTTACTCAATGGTGGTGCTTTAAATTAAATTTTAGTAATTGATTTATTTGTGGTTATGAGTTATGACATTTTTGGTTTTGGAAGCCTTTATCTTGACAGTACCTAGTGAACATTCAAGGTCGCATTAATACCCTAGGGGGCTCTTAGCAATGAGAGTTATTGGGTCCCCTTTTTAGCACATTTTTACAAATTTATTTGTAAAAATGTAATCTCACTTTGACCGGTCGGCCGGCTAGCTAGCAGCAAATAAGCGCCCGTAGAAGAACGCTTGTAGAAAGACGAGGAGTGTACGTGTACCTACCGTGTCGTGTAATTAACAACTTTAGGGACGAGGTTCACATGATGTGGGTTCAGCGACATCTGGGCGCCATCCCTGAGCGTAGTTTACTAACGTCGTGATTTTTCAGTTTTTTTCTACTTCTGCTTTAGTTTTGGTCCGTGTTTTCAAACTAGTGTCGTCGGAGAGATTTTATATACGCGCACAACTCCTACGTGACGGAATGATGTCTTTTCCTTCTGCAAAAAAATTCCTAATCAGAATGTTCGGCAGTAATTATATTCTCTTACTTACTTTCGCCCTGTATTGCCGCCCCTCAGAGGCCGACACCAATTAAGTGAGCAGGGTTAGCTAGGCTCTGGGGCCCCCACTACCCTGAGTACTCGTTTCCGTTATCACCTTTTGACGAGTCACGGTCGAGTCCGATTGCTCGAAATTCTACTCCCGTTTTCGACAAATGGCAATCGAGTTTTCGCGAAAAATGCGTGAAATTAGAAGTTGACCAAATGCCTACCACGTACTCCTCAGGAGTGAACGTACGGAAGTTCTACTTCTCATGTCGATAAAATTCCTTTTATCACATGTCATGAGTAACCGTTCAGAATTCTCGAATATCTCTACTCCAAAGCATTTGGAGTTTAGGAATCACCCGCTTGGGATACTTAGCTTCGCCACTGAAAAATGTGACTACTGAGCCCCACCACCACGACAAGGTGTACCCAATGGTAGGGATCGTCGTATCACAGTCCAAGAAATTGCAACAGATATAGGGGTAAGCATTATTGGATCGGTACATTCAATTTTGACAGAGGATTTGGACATCGCACAGGCCATGCTTAACAATGCAAACACCGCGTGATCACAGACGATGAGTTATGGGTACGGCCCAGAAACGAAGATGCAGTAGTCACAGTGGAAACATCCTTTTCAAAAATTCGCAGTAAACCCTCCTATGTGGTAATAATATCATCTGTAATTACTTTCAACTCTATTACCTTTTCAAAATGGTGTGCATCCCTATGTGCGTACCACCCAATTAAATATTATTCCCTACCCTACTGCCAATGTTCCTACTTCCTGTTGTATTTCGGTACATGAAGTTGATTCGTGATTTAATTTTGTTCCTCATTCTCCCCAGTATTGCTTCCTAAATTTTTCCCCAAACATTTCAAAATCTTTAATTTTGTTATCTACCATGTCGTACCAAATCTGAGCTTCCTCTTTTAGTAAACCTATAATCACATTCATCTCCTCGTACTTGGTAAATTGTACCACATAAACTCGCCTATTATTCCTAACCTTATTATCGTTCTTTAGGAAAATCATCGGATGCTTTTTCTTTTTCCTCATAAGCTTTTCTAATTTTCTATATCAGCCCTGTAACCTACCATAAATCATGTATACACGGAAACAACCCTCCCATCCCATGTTTAGTTCTCCTGTTATACTTCTGAAATCTTTCTACACACCCTTGCTTTAATTTCTCTGTATCTTGCACACTTTTTGTTTTAACTTTTAAAACTTCATCATTTCAGTTACCCTGTATTTAATGGTTCCTGTAGCTTTGGCATAACATTCCTCCGCATCTCACCGATTATCAATCCGACTCGCCCATCCAGCTACTTCCCGGGAGATACCTTTCAGCACTCATCCGTACATTCATCACCTCACGTTGTCATTTGGTTCTCATCTACCAGTCTTTGATTTGCCTGTGCTCTCAAGCTATAACATGGTCTTCGTTTCTTCCTCCAACGGTTTGTACCCTAATTTCCTCAAATTTCTGAATATTTTCCATCCACATATCATCACATTTCCCACTATTTTTCTTTGATCATTTGGATTTAGCGACAATACAAAAAATAGCTTCCTGTATTTATTTGTTGATAATCCAAATAAAGGTAAGTACTGACATTCTTAAAGTTTATAAATAAATTAAAAAATTTTTTAGAGATATGTTCAATTGTTCAATTTAAGATTTTGTTTGTAGGTATGTTCTTTTTTCTGTTACCTATTGTCATTATTTACTTTAATTTTTTAATGCTTTATTTACTATTTAATAAGTTACCACCAATTTGTTTTTTATGTAGAAATTCTGTAGGTACCAATTTATCAAATAAAATGTTTGTTTAGTACTTACTAGTGTCATTTTCTCATTTAGAGTTATTGGTTGTAATTATAAGAAAGAAAAAATGTTTAAGAAACAGAGTCATACATCAAATTGTCTACCCAATTATCTATTACATGCTTTTAGGTAGACGTAGTTTAGACGTACGCAGGACCCCCAATACCTTTGAATATAACCTAATTTTTCGTCAAATGTTTTGTTTAGAAATACTTCACAGTTCACAATTTTCCACTTCCACCCAAAATTCCTCATGCGTTACGAGCATGGTATAATAAAAAGTTACGAGCCAAATTGAGTGGACATGTTTCTAAGCAAAACATTTGACGATTTATGTACTCCTGATATTAAGCTGATAAAACAGTCGAATTAATATGCGGAGCAGGTTATGCTTACTAGTGAAAGTGTATGGTGGGCTGCCTATCCACATGCACATTACAAATGGAATTGAAAATGTATGTATATAATACCTATAGGTCTTTTTTCAATCATATTAGTAGAGTTCCCGCGCGCTCAAAAGTGATTTAGAAATCCACTCCGTCAAGCTTTTAAAGGTAAAAAGCATCTAATGATGTTTTTCTGTAGAGTTTGGACTACTAATTAACCCCCTAAATTCGTCTGTTGATACCGATGTCCAAACGGCCCAAAAAAGGAAAAAATGGAATTTTTCAAAAAGTTCTTATTTTTAATTACAACGGTGCGTTTTTTTGTCGTTAGCTCTAATGGTAATGAAAATATAAAGTATTTTTCTCCGCGCATTTTACATTGCATATACCTACGGCAAGAACGCACACATAATCGTTAGCCATTCGCTTAAACAGTGTTTTGCAAAATGTAACTTTTTAAAATATCGTTTATAACGCCATTGCTCTTAGACGAATCAGAATTTTAAAAAAAATTATAGCTGGCAGCTTAACGAATCCAACGAGGGGCATAGTTTGAAAATATCTTTTTCTATTTCGATTTTTAAATGTTCTTATTAACGCACTGTTTTCCGCTCAAAACAGTGCGTTTGAGACCTATTAACGCACCGTTTTTAAGTTGGTATTAAAGAGGAAAACCTAAATTCACTACCCTATTTGACATTCGATTGTATTTATTTACAAATTAGGGTTATGTTTTGATATACAGAAAGACAAGATTCCCTTTCTATTTGATTAAAAGCGAGACATGTAAGGCTGATAGTGTTAATCAAATTACAAGAACAATATGAAAAAACCACTTAATTACTTTCTCCTTCCAAAACTCAAAAGGGAATTAAATATTACGG